TACCTCTAGTGACAAATTAAGTAGTATTCAATTATTAAATAGTGGATTTATAACCTGATTATTTAAGATGATCATTTGGTTATGTATATATATATACAGTGGTACCTCAGGATACGAAATTAATCCGTTCCGAAACTGAGATCGTATCATGAAAATGTCGTAAGGTGGATCATCTTTTCCCATACGATTACATGTAAAACCAAATAATTCGTTCCAACGTGAAAAACATACTCAAATTAAAGCCAAGTAATACATTAAAAAAAATAACAGTAGTAAGAAAAACAAATGAAAAATGCGAACTAATGTAACGTCGTATGGTGAGTTTTTGTTCGTATCATGGAGCAAAAATATGTTTGAATTTCATGTCGTATCCTGAAAATTTCGTATGCTGGGGCATTTGTAACCTGAGGTACCACTGTACATACATATAGGCTTATGATATAAAATGATGATCTATATATATAAAAATGAATGTGTGTGTGTGTCTCTCTCTCTCTGTCTGTCCTTCATGCATTACCACACCGTTTATCTGATTGCCGTGAAACTTTGGGAAGTTGTTTAATATATGCCCGCGAAGGTTTCTGGCATAGTACATTTATCCTACGATAGATGGCGCGCATGTATACGAGTGTATCGAGCACAGTGTGTTCGATCGATTTCAAATTGTGAAGACCATTTCCCCCTCCAAAAAATATCTCTATATATGCATTTGTGAACCGTTATTTATGATATTTGTAATAATTTTTGTTTAATCACTTTATTTCAACTTTTTTTTGCTAATTATGTATTCGCTGGAACTTTGTTAAAACCTTAACTGTACCCCGAACAACAACCGAAGTTGTAGGAGGAAATTCGAGTATTTTACCAATCTAGGAATCCCCCTTTTCCAAATTTTAATATCAACTCAAAACAATTTAAAAAGACAAATTAGAATAAAATGGTTTATTATCCAACTATCAGAAATTTCACAACATGCCAAGGAAGAGAGGAAGGAGCAATTAAATAATTAAAATTATAAAGGATTAAAAGAATATATATAAAAATGGGAAATATCACACTTCTGACAATTGCTGCAAGTGTGTGGGCTAAATTTGGAGAATCTGTGCTTCTCGCATGGACAACTGTATGTGGCCAACTCACGCGTCAAAAAACCTGATTTATTCGTGTACGCACCAGATGGAAAAACAAAAAATATCGTGTATCCACAAGCACTCAAATAAATAAATACAATTAAAACGAAACTTTGAAATGTTTTTTCCCGATGAAAATTAATAATAATAATAATAATAATAATAATTTTCAATAAAAATGATAAAATGTAAATTTAATGTTATCATAATGAGTTTGCTTGAATTTCGCTTCTTCTGAGATCGCAGCAATGCGCGACGGGTAAGCTAGTAATTAACAAAACTAGGTATTTCTTATTTTTTTAAATTGACATATGCCAGGAGAAAAATGCTTGTAAATTTTGAACTAATAGGCATTTTCATTGATTCAAATTAAATAACTTTGTTAAAATATCTCAATATATATTTCATACAAAATTATAACATGTTGTAATCTCTAATTTGAAATAAAATTATTATAAATTAAGATTTTTTAAAATGTTTATAAATTTTTTTGTTTTATCAATTTGAAAAATGAAATAAATATTATTACTTGTTTTGATATATGTAGGCATGATAAAAAATTATGTGAAGCTGCCAAAGGTTCTTGGTTTCTTTCTTCTCCAACTAGTACTTTTCATGTACCTCCAACAGTTCTTGATACTCAACAATTTCAAGTTTCTCTTCAATTGTAAGTATTAATGTAAAAATTAAAGAATTATTAATATTTGAGTAAATCAAATATCAACAAATTTTAATACTGTATTTGTTATTTTAAGCATTAAAGATCATAATAATGGAGATCCAATTCCAAGAGTTGTTAAAGAATGCATTCTTTACTTAAGCAGTGATAGTGGTAAAATGATTTTTTGAACTTTCAATAAATATTAATAAAAATTCTCTGATTTCATTTTGTATTAAATAATAATTATTTGAGTTATTCAAATTACAATATATAATTTCTAAATGTAAATTTTTATTTAAGTAGAATTTAATAGGATGCTTCTAAAAATTTTTTTTTATTTCATGAATTTTTGAAAAGCTTTGGAAACTGAAGGAATATTCAGACGGTCTGCAAGTACTAAAGTTGTGAATGAAGTGCAAGCACTTTTTAATGAAGGTAATAAAAATTACAAATTATTAAAAAATTATTAATGAAATCAACATGAATTATTGACAACTTTTTTGAAAAGATATGAAATAAATATTTTTCTCTGATAACAAGTGTTTGATATAGATTGCATATGAATATACAATATGAATACTAATGATAAATGTATATCTTATTTAAATGTATTTATTATATGAATTATGCTAATTAAGAATATATTCAAAATTAGAATTATTTTTTTTCACATCAAAGTTTAGTATTGTAATTATTCTTTAAAAAATAATGTTTAAAATCTATAATATTGCAGAATATGGTAACAGATATTATCTGTATATATAAATGTAAATGTGAATATTGTGTCAAATTGCATGTAGACTATGCATCTCATGAAATTATGTATTTGTTACAATTAGTGGTGTGAAGTGTAAAATGACATAAATATCCATTCACTTACCTGAATGACCATAGTAACATGACAATGGTGGTTTTGAGCAAACATTCTTGTCGTCGTCCAAGCACATCAAACATTTCTCTTTTGCTAAACATCATGTACTTTTAAGGTGAGTGTTGTCAACAATGAGCAAGCATCAGCATAAATGATCTTAGTTATTATTGAATGTCAATACAGTGAATTGTTTTTTGTTGTTTGATTTTTTCTAGAACATTACACACTTATGATTAAAGAGGTTTATTTAGTTATGAAATACAGGATAATCCTATATATTTATTTTTTGGGGACTTGACTGGATCTTATCATTTAAAAAAATGAATGAATATAAACCTAAATAAAGCATAAACTGTAGTGTATGATCTATATCTCCTGGATAAGATGGTATAGGCTTACATGATAAATAAATAGTTTAGTGTGTGTTAATTTAATCATATTTATTCAAATAACTGAAGCCTGAATTATGTTTTGAGTTGCAATGCCTGTCTGCTGCTTGGCAAGAACACCTTTTTTATCCCACAGTGCTTCAATTTTTTTGTTGTATTCATCAGACTTAAAAGTAAACTTTTTGTCTCCCTTCTTCTTACTCACTAATTATTAAAACTTAATATAATATTTTTCTTCCATTAAAACTTTAAAGATCAGAATAGGAATTAAAATAACATAAAATAAGGTTACATTATATGGAATGTAATGGCTGCAATGACAGTTTACATTATCTAAAGCAACATTGATGCATTGTTGTTTTAACACATTGCCAATATTGCCAGCTGGAGGGTGATTGATGTCCTTGCCCTGTCTACTCAGATCATTGCTCAAACAATCTGAAAATGTCATAAATGACCAGTTATTCATATGATTTTATATATTCAGATCATTGACTGTAATAAATAAATTTTTAAATGTTTATCTCTTTCTCACAAAAACAGGAAAGTATTAAATTTTATTGCTAAGTATCTGACCCACTGACTTATGCAGTACTAGTAGCCCGGGACGCCCCCTAGTGGACGTTTTAGCAGTATTACAAATTCCTATGAGGCATGTTTAAAGCAGCGGCAGCTTTACGTTCCTCCACAGTGGCGTATTTCTTTGGTCGTGCCATGAAAGGTTTCTATTATTATATTAAAAAATTAGCTTAACTATTTCAAACCTTATCGTTTTATCGTAGCGGTTCAAATCTATCCGGTTTTTCGTTATTCGCCTCCTAGTGAACATTACAGGCATTCCGTGACAATAATAAATTCCTATTACAAATATAATGAATTATTTATATTGTTATATTGACCAAATAATAATTTATTGGCCAAATGAATAATAATAATTTATATTGTTCATTTAAATAATAATTAAAATTGTTAATTTAATTTGAATGTTTTAAATATGACACACGATAGGGGCGCCTCTAGTGTCCGTTATCAAACGGTTACGGGACAGACGGACAGTTGAATGGGTTATATATATAGATAAACTTTTAATGTGCAGTTTTTAACACTTAACGATTAACTTCAAAGTTGTGCATAAATTACGTAACGCAGATATGAGTGAGTGGGTATGCTGTGATCGTCGATTAGGGATTGCATTGCCGATAAACGGTTTACTGCTTCACCGGCAATCAGATAAAAAACCCTGTATTGGTAAATATACTAGTAATTTGATATTTTTACTTTAAATTCGGTAAAAAAATAAGTACACATGTAATAATATTTTGCAGCCAAATATTTATTTGTATAATCAAACTTAGATTATCTGAAAAGTTTTCTGTTTTCGAAAACAATCGGCGAAATCCGAAACTAACGAAAACCGAGGCAATTATTTTTATATAGATCAATGTAAATCTAATTAATTTGTTCTAGACACTAGACACTAAAATTATTTCTAAGCAACAATGAATAATTTTTTAATATAATAATGAAAGAAAAGAACAAAAATTTCGAGTAAGAAATTGAAAATTCTGCAAAAAAATCTTGAGATTAAAACAATTTAAGAACGAAAGTCTACATATTCTGCAGAATTTTGCACAAGTACTTAATTAAAACATTACAAATTATGATCAGTATTGTTAGAATACACAATTAAGAAAATTGTAAACTGTTATTACAATTTTCACCTGTGTCCGAGCCAGACTCGGGCGAATATCAAATAATAATTAATTCACTTTTTATGCACAGATTTTACTCAGGTAAAATTTATTTGTCCTTTAACGATCGTTGTCTATGACCACAACAAATTTCGTAATTCTATACGAATTATAAGTTTTTGATTGGAGCCGTTTTTCCGGTCCCCTTTTATATAAATAGTACAAATGACCAAAAATTTTTAGTTGTATTTGAGTATTTGTAATAACTAGTACAAACCTTGCTAGAACCCCGACTTTCCCTAAGACCTTTATGTAAATATCCCGCAAAAGTTGACCAACGGCTGTTCTCAAGATCAAACAATTTTAAACACCGTAGACTGCAGCTGTCTCGTTGCAGTTTGTGTAAGACGAAAGAAAAATATAAATAAAGTATCCCTGAAGCTATATGTAATAACTAGATGCATTTATTTTAAATCATTTTTTTATTTTTTTAATAGCTTTACTATAAAAACACGTTTTGGGGAGATTTTTTCGCGGCAAAATTATAATTTTTTCTAATATCAGATTTGGTTTAACTTTCACAAAAATATTTATTATCAAAAAATAAAAAAATATATGCTTTTCTGAGCGAAATTTGAAAAAAACAAGCGTTAAGGAGTTTTAAATGTATTAAATGTTATCCTATTTACAAGGAATAAAAGTAAATTTTAACTTAAAATTAAAAATTATCGAAAAACCCAGATAATGAGATATTTTTGTGAAAAAACCTATCAACCCAGATTACAATAAAAAAATCCAAATATGAGTAGAAAAACTCAGGCGTAAGAGCCCTTCCCACACCATATCGATGACGGCACGATATTTCAAGACACTGGAAAGGCACTTTCTTTGCTTGGTTCATTTCCCGTTGGATGAAATTAGTCAAACGAAATAAAAACCATCAATAAGTTAAGGGATTGCCTATCACTATAACCTATTCAACTATGCCCAAGAACAACTAATGTCAACTGCTTCCAAGAATATACTGTTTTTTCGCCACTAGATATTCGCCACTAGATGGCGCCACTAGACGGTGCCCCCAACTGTCCAAATGTTAATGCCAGTGCTCATCGCTTAGATGCTCAAGCCTAAGCAGCTCATTATAAACCAACCTGTGTAACTTCAGGGGAAAATTTGAAATGTTTATGGAAGAAGCGATATATTTTTTAAACAATTCATAGGAGAAAGATATTTCCGATGGGATATTGTAGAGAGCTTGAAGATTTGAAAAGTGCGTTTATAAATAAATGGTTTCTGGTTTCAAAACACCGGTGTTACTCATTGCAGTGGGAAAGGCAGGTTCGAAACGACTGCTAGACAAAGCAGAAATTTCTCCACTCCATACCATGTGTGGGGTGTGGGCTGACTTCAACCTCAGAGCGATGCAGGCTTTGGCAGCACGTCTTACGGCGATGCGGGCCTCGGCGGCACCTCTGACAACGTTGCGGCCCACATCTCACTACAGAGTTTGATCATTGCACTCGGATCCAAGTGCAATGGTCGAACTCTGGG